CTCTGTATGATACTTTTGGTAACCTCACAATAACAACTTAATCTTTAAGCCTGCAAAATTCTCTACATATATTCAACTAACATTACCTCAAAACACGACATCTTCACTGCCTCCAGCCTTTTCACTGTAATGTTGAAAACCCTTGTTTCACACCCATATAAATGTTTGTACAGTTGTACTCTGGTACATTCCCTATTTTCCTTATATCACAGTTCAGGTACATGGTCTTTATCAATACTTCAGACTCAGTTTAAGGGTTAATGGGTTACTGGACTGTGTTGACTGCCATCTGGCAGCTTTACATATTGCAAGTTATTACCACCACAGCTAGGTTCTACTGATTGCTATTCCTGTGCCATTTTATTCTGCATTTGTATATTACTGCTTCAGTCCTAATGTTAAATTCTTTAACCCTTTGAGAGGTCTGTCCCGTAGTTCTATGGGCTTTGAAGCCAGGGTCCAAACCGTTTTGTAGAAACTCGTCTGGCTCCAGCTCATCCACTCATATAGCTTTTGTGTGGTAAAATTATGGGCCTAGACATGAGAGCATGCATCTATGTGGTGTGTTCACCATATATAATCAAATTCTGCATAATGAGAAAAAAGAATTGCATTGTGTTTTTGGATTAAAACAGACTGAAAATGGGTGTTTTCCCCAGCAGATTTTCTCCCACTGGAAGTTGAAAAAATGTTTAATGTAAATTCTTAATTGTATTCTCTTCTTTTCTATTTGAATTCGGTAAGAAATGTGTTAGAACTTTCGTATGCTCTTTATGGTAGCATACTTTCGAATGCTTTTTACGGTTGTATTCACGGTTTCTTGGTCTCATTTGATAGAACGGAAGATATATTACAGAAATAGAGGTGATTTTGATGTTTAATACCAAAATAGGTTGAATTGAGCTCAAAATAGTTGAAATGTTCAATTTTTGCCAATGTTCAAGAGTAAACAAATCACATCACGCGTCTTATACACGTCAGCAATGTATGTTCACGAATGCTGTGATATTATTTATACAATTATTACAATATTTGATTACAGTTAGTAGGTGGTAGACAGCAACCACCTAGGAAGTACTACCTTCCTGACCAGATGACTGTGAAACAGAACTGTGAAACTGCGTTTGCATGATGGTAGGATTGCTGGTTTCTTTTCTCGTTATAAACACGCTAGATAACAGGGATATCTTGCTACTCCTACTTACACTTTGGTCACACTTCACAGTCAAGCACAATGCTATATATACATGTTATTCATCTAGGTTTTTCTCTTTTTTATAAATAGTCTGTTTTCTTATTTCTGCTGATTGTACATAGGGAAGTGGAAAAGAATCTTTCCTCGTAAGCCATGCGTGCCATTATGAGGCGACTAAAATGCCGGGCAAGGGCTAGTAACCCCTTCTCCTGTAAGACATTTACTAAAAAAGAGAAGAAGAAAATCTTTATAAAACTGGGATGCTTGAAATGTGCGCTGGGTTTGTGTGCGGATGACCAAGAAACAGATGATTGCTGATTGCTATGAAACGAAAAGCTGTTGGAGTCCGGGCCTAAGCAAAACCAAGTTTGAAGGGAGGGGCTTGGGAGTTTTCGGTGTGGGGAAATATAATGGGATATAGTTATGGAAGGAGAAAAAAGAGATATATGAATGTTGTAAATTCAGAATTTGTGGATTAAAGATAAATGCGTCGCGATGCGAAAAGTGGGTCATAATAAGCGTTGGTATGCACCTGGACAAGAGAGGATTGAGAGGAGAGGTGAGAGATTTTGGGGAGATGTTTATGTGAATGTATAGGAACTTTGAACCAAGTGAGAGAGTAATTGTTGGTAGGGTACCTGAATGCTAAGTAGGATAAACTTTTAGAGAGGTGTGGTAGGTAAGTTTGGGGTGCCAGGTGTAAATGATAATGGAATCCCTATGATTGAACTTTGTATATCGAAAGGGCTTTAGTTATTAGGTAATACATATTTAAAGGAAAAGAGGATAAATATGTATACCAAGATATGATTATAGGGCGAATGACAGTAGTTTGTTGGATTATGTTATTGGTAGATAAAAGATGTTGGGTAGTCTTCAGGATGTACATGTTTATAGAGGAGGCCACCATATATATCAAGATCACTTTTTAGTTGTAGCTACTCTGGAGAGTAAAAGACGATGGGATACAAGGAGAATAGAAGCATCAGGAAAGGAGAGAGGTGAAGAGTTTATAAACTAAAAGAAAGAGGAGGGCAGTTAGGGTAAGATATTAAAAAGCTGTTGGAGGATAGATGGGCTAATGGAGAGCATAGGCAATGGGGTACGAAGAGTATGGGTAGGTTTTAAAAAATGTTCGTGTTAGAGTGTTCAGCAGAAGTTTTGTGGTTACAGGAAAGTGGGTGCGGGGAGGGAAGAGGAACGATTGGGTGGAATGATGATTGTAAAGAGAGTAGAAAAGGAGAAAAGTTAGCATTATGAGAAGTTTTTAAAAAGTAAAAGTGATGCAAGGAGGAAGAGTATATGGAGAAAAAGGAAGAGGTTAAGAGAGTGGTGAAGCATGTTAAAAAGAGAGCAAATGAGAGAGTGGGTGAGATGTTATCAAAAATTTTTGTTGAAATAAGATAAGTTTGGAGTGCAGATTAACAAGTTAAGGAAGCCTAGAGACAAATGGATTTGTCAGTTAAATATAGAGAGGAGATTTATTAAATGGAGAGTTGAGGTGTTGGGAAGATGGAGGGAATATTTTGAGGAATTGTTAAATGTTGATGAAGATTAGGGAAGCTAGTGATTTAGTGTATAGGCAAGGAGGAAATAACATCATTTGTAGGAGTGGGGGAAGAGCCAGTTGTGAGTGTGGGGGAAGTTTGTGAGCATGGGTTTAGAATGAAAGGGGGTAAGGCAGCTGGGATTGATGGGATAAAGATAGAAATGTTTTTAAAGCAGGTTGGAGGATATAGTTTTGGAGTGGTTGGTGATTTTATTTAATAAAATGTATGGATAGGAGGGTAAGGTACTTAGGGATTGGCAGAGAGCATGCATAGTTCCTTTGCTATAAAGGAAAGGGGGTGTAAAAGAGAGTTTAAAAATTAATGGGGAATAAGTCTGTTGAGTATACCTGGTAGAAGTGTTTGTAGGTGTTATTATTGAAAGAATTAAGAGTAAGGACGGGTTGAGTTGGATTAGCCAGAAGAACAAGCAGGGGCTTTAGAAAGGTAGGGCGGTGTGTAGACCAAGTGATTTGCAGTGAAACATATAGGTGAACAGTATCTAAAAAAAGGGTAACGAGGTTTTTGTGGCATTTATGGATTTGGAAAGGCATGTGGACAGGTTGGTTAGGGGGCAGTGTGGCAGATTGTTGCAGGTGTTTGGTATAGGAGATAGGGAGATTGTAGTGAAGAGTTTTGAGGATGGTGAGGCTCTGGTTAGAGATGTAGGTGAGAGGGAGATTATTTCCCAAGTAAATATAGGCTTAGACTAGGATGTGTGATGTAACCATGGTTGTCATTGTATTCATAGACAGGGTTATAAGAGAGGGAATGCGAGGGTTTGGCAAGAGGTTGTGGAGGTAAAGATAAAGAATCAAACGAAGTGGGAGTTGTCCAACAGTTGCTCTTTGCTGATGACAATGTGCTTTTGCGACATTATGAAGAGAAGTTGCAGAGGTTAAAAGTGAATATAGGAAGATACCTACCCCCTATATGAGGTAAAAAGATTGGGTGACGAAAGATTGGATATCAGATTTACAGGGAGAGAGTATGGAGGAGGGAATGTATTTCAGGTATTTCGGGTGAGACGTGCCAGCAGATGGGATCTGTGAAAGGATGAGGTGAATTTGAATTGTTGGGGGAAAGATGAAGTGGTGCACCTAGGAGTCTTTAATGACAAAGAAAACTTTGTCAGGAAAGCTAAAAAGGGGAATGGTATGAGAGTATTGTTTTACCAACGCTTTATATGGGTGTGAAGCATGGGTTTGATGACTGTTGCAACGAGGAGAAGCCTGGAGGCAGTGGAGATGTCATGTCTGAGGGCAATGTGTGGTCGTGAATATAATGCCAGAGAATCATAGTTTGGAAATTATGACGAGGTTAGGATTTCTAAACTATTATCCAGAGGGGCTGAGGAGGGGTTGTTGAAGTTGTTTATACATGAAGAGAGAATGGAACAAAAACAGAATGACTTTGAGAGTGTTATAGATCTGTAGTGGAGGAAGATGGGTTGGGGTCGGCCTAGGATGGGTTGGAGGGAGGGGCGTATAAAGGAGGTTTTGTGTGTGAGGGGCTTTGGACTTCCGAGCAAGCATTGCATGAGAGTATATTTGATAGGATGTGAATGGAGACAAATTGGTTTTTAATATTTGACTTGCTGTTGGAGTGTGAACAAGTAACATTTATGAAGGATTCGGCGGAGGAAAACGGCAGGCTGGAATCGAGTCCTGGAGGTGGGAAGTATTGTGTCTGCTGTCTGAGGGGAGGGTGTTAATTTGCAGTTTTATAATCTGTTGTGTTAAAGAAACCTCTGGAAGGACAGGGGATGGATTGAATGATGAAAAATTTTTTCTTTTTTTGGGCCACCTGCATTGGGCTGGAATCAGACGATGTGTTAAAATAATTCCAATGTTTATACAAATTGTAAAACAACAAAGGACCAACACATGACCCCTGTAGAACACACTTGTGACATGCCCCCAACTCAGCATTTCTCCTCAATGATTACAAAGTTTCTGCTGATATCTGTCAACCTCGCCTCTACCCAGCGAAAATTTTCTCCTTTATTCTGTTGCTTAATTTTCCTCAATAGTCTTTGATGTGGAACTCTGTGAGAAAAGCCTTAATGAAGTTCATGTAGCCACTATCGCATTCACCATTTTATATTGGCCAGTAATGAGATAATTGCAGAGAAGCTTTTAGTGTGACAACTTCTTCTCTATGTAAGTGCAAAAAAAAATGTTACACAAAATCTTCCTCAGTGCCTGTAATTTATCTTCATAAATGTGGTTAGAAAATTAAATATTTTTTTTTTTCAGATTATCCTGATTATAGTGGACCATATTTCAAAAACAACTTTGATCTGAAGGATGATGAGGAGCAGGCTAAAAATGGTACTAAATATGAAGAGGTAGAAGAGGAAACCACACATTGTGAAATTGATTATTATTAGATTGTTTAGTTTACATTGTCAGCTGTAATAGTCTGCAGTAGTAGGTGGGTTGTAGGGTAAATTATATATTCTGTTATAAATTGTAATGTGAATATAATTGGTCATCACTGAAATTATTGGGTGTAATAGCTCATCACACTTCATCATTAATTTTTGGTCATATGTAAAATCTTGACATTTTAGGCCCTCTGAAAAAATATTTGTTATGCCTGTAGTAGGACCTTGCTTATTGAGGGGATGATTGATTTTTTTTTGTGTGTGTATATATAATATCAGTAATGATAGGGTCAAAGCTACTTTCGAGTGATGTGCAGCTGGGTTATGTGAATGGCGATCAACAAGCCAGCCACATAGGGGGAATCTTAGATTCCAGTTATTTTGCGTTTGATGTTGGGTCTTGTTCTACTCTGCGGACAGATAAAATGATCATAATTGTTCTGGTAGCCCCCCCCCACCCCCCCCCCCCTCTGTTTTTATTTTTTTTTTTCCCCAGGTGTAAGGTTCGTGTACTCTGACTTTTTCAATTTCCCTGAGTTTTCAGTGATGGATAAGTTAGTGGGAAATTTAGAAATTTGATGCTTCAGTGTGTCTGTTAATTGAAGATTAAAATTTTTAACAAATTTATTGTAATCAACAAAGATTGCAGAGGCAAAATGAGCTGATGGTACATATATGTAGGTACACAAGTACGTGAATGTATATAGATAACTTATATTTTTCCTAGGCTCTTTGATTTTGGTAAACTCAATATCATTTTGACAACAATATTTTTGTTTTGAGGGCATTACAGTAAGACTGGTGAGGATACAATCGTTTTGTATAATTTAAATAATTTTTTATATTCATTTACATTATGTGTCGAAATTTTCTTTTTAATTTATAGTTATAATCAAGGAGAGGTTTTTGATGCCAGTAAGGACTCTTGGAAATGGACCTGCCCTTCCCTGGGTTTAAACTTGATTATCTCCATTTCCCCAGCACGTTATGATCCTTGTGGGTTTAGAGCTCCTTTTCATGTAAATAATCTTTCATTTAATTATTACAAATTTTAATTTTATTGGTTTAAATTTGCAAATAATTGTTTATTGGACAAAATTTGACAGTGCAAGGTCTAATGAGCTATTTTAAGCGTAGTATTGGAGAACAGTGTATTCGTGTGTTACTGGTACCACCCCCCGAGGGCCTTGTGAAACATAATTCAGTTTGTTGAATAGTATGAAAGGTTTGGAAATATTGGAGAGAGTAATATGTTAGATCATAAAATAGGTTTTAGTACTTATTGCACATAAATTAATGTGTGCTGGATTTGAGGATCTTTTTTTTCGTGTAACAAAAGATGTCAAATGATAACAATTGTTTATTGTGATGTTTGACATTTTTATACAACTATAATATTCACACAGTTTTAGGAATGGCTTAAATTATGCTAAATTTAAGATCATGACGCAGATGATTTAATAGAAAATTATTGCTTCAAGGAGGGTCCCTTGGCTGAGGGAAAGATGGCTCTTACTCTGAGACCTGGATCCTTCTTTGTCTCCTTCCTTGGAGTAAATCTATTTGCTCTCTTACCTCATTTCCTCCTCCTTTGTCTCTCTGGGAAAGGGAATCATTGTCCATCCCAGTGTATTAGGATTCAGCGGTGGAGGCATTAGCGGTTGTCACACCATACCCATCCTGCAAGTGTTAAGTCAACCTATACCTATCCTATGGATCCTCTGATCCTGCACTGCTATGCCCTGCTGAGCTGTATGACTTTGTTGGTTTAGCGTTCTTTGATTGTAATATCTGTGGGTGGGAGTTACCCCATACCCATCCTGGAAGTGGTATTCATCCCCTTATGTGGGGGTGGTATGTACCCTATACCCATCCTGTGGGCGGTATTTACTGTATACATCCTGCGGGTGATATTCACCCCATATCCATCCTGTGAATGGTTGTCACTCTGTACCCATCCTGTGAGCGGTTGTCTCACTAGATCTTGTTAGTGGTTGTCACTATCCCTCTCTGGGAGGCGGGGCTCTTTACATGGTTAAAGAGGCTTTTTAGTTTGAGGAATTTTTTTGTACCTTTCGGTCTTCCTCAGACAACTCAATACCCCCATTCCCCCCATCCCATCCTCCCTATCCCTCCTTTCCCATTCCTTAATACTCCTCTCTTTTTTCCGTTTTTTAGCCTTTGGGGATCCTCCCCTCAGGCTTTCTAGTCCTAGGTTGGTTCTTCCTGGAAAGGGTATCGTTTTGTCTATCCTATTTCTTGAGGTTCTTGGTGGTGTACTTTGCAGTGGAATCTGATCATCTGTGGGATGTCTTGATTCCCTCTCCCAGTCTCCTGGGGAAAGGCTTCTGGGTGTCTTTCGAGGGTGACGAGTGTATCTCTGGAGGCTGGCTGTCGGATTCCACGAAGTGGTGGCTGAAAGAGGTATATGCCATGTGGTGGTATCCAAACCACCCTTACTTTTGTTTCCACCAAGGTGGCTCAGTAGATGTGTGGATACACATTCCATCTTGTTTGTGCTTTGAAGGGTGGGGTATGGTGAAGGTTTCAGGCCACATCAGCACTATGCGCTGATTGAGGTCCTCTTGGGAGATGTTTAGACCCTTTCATTTTCTCCTAGGAGCTCTTCGACATTCCCCTTTTTTTACAGAAAAAAATGTGACCTTAAATCATGGAGTTGAAGACCCGTGAAACTGCTGCTCTTGTGGCCCCTTTCTGCTGCAACACCCTTTAAAACCTTACTCATTGTCGAAACGTTTATAATGTCCTGGTGCTCTGAAGGGAAACCATTTGTCGCCTGCTCCTGGTACTGAGGATCTGCCGACTCCTTTGGTACATTCTGATCTCTGCGCTTTGATATGCTTTGGCTTCTCCCACTCGACGATTTTCGGATCACTCAGGGGCCTATCTCAGGATAGACTTCCTCCGGTTCACATCCAAATGACCACTACATTAGCTGATACACAGCTTCAGTTAACTCTCACTCTTCCCTGAAAGAATCATATTGACACTCACTTCCCTTACACTACATTTAAAGTGCACAATGGACTAAATTTTTCACTGTAACCAACATCTCTCACTATCTTTCTGATCAATAGTATCAGCAAAGCACTCCTGTGCTATGTTGGTCAAAATATTTCATTTCAAGCCTCTTTATGAGTGGTGCATGCTTATCATGGTGCGAAATGCTGGCAGGCTCAAAATCTTTTCCTTTCTTAACTTCATAGTATTCCTGTCACAATTCGAAAATACGGCTCTCAATCTTGCTGGTGGCTATGTTCTGCCTCATACCATTGTTCCAGCGTGATTTTTGGGACATGTGATGACGACATTCTGGAACAACTTGAGCTCTAAGATTTCCCAATTCTCAAAGTGGACCTTATGTACTCCCTGCCACATGTGGAGATGCTTTCCCTGCAATGTAAGCTTCCTTAATTTTGACTGCTGAGTTAGTCTGAGGTGTTAGACCATTTGTCTCCTTCCTCAGACAGAACTAATTACTCCCATTCATCCCTTCCCTATACAATACTCCCCATCCCTTTCTCTTTTTTTTTTCATCCTCTATCCCATCCCTCCCATCCCGCTTCCTGTTTTTCAGCTTTGGGATTCTTTTCCATTGGCACTCTGAGTTCCTAGGTAGAGGGCAGGGTACTGGGTCCATCCCATTCCGTTGAGGTCCGTGGTGGTGGTGTTAGGTTTACCATGGAATCTGGATCACCTGGGGATGTCCCACTCCCTCTCTGGTCTCCAGGGGAGTGGCTTTGGCGTGTCTTTCGGGATGACGGGTGTATCTTATGGATGCTGCCTTTTAAGATTTCATGGGAGTGGTGGCCAAGGATGTATGCTTTATGGCAGATATCCGGCCGCCCTTCTTTTGTCCACATACGGTTGTCCAGTAGATGTGAGGTTGCTATCCCAGATGTTTGGTTTACTGGCATGAAGGGTAGGGGCATCTAGCATGAGTTTCATGCACGCAGCTGCATTACTTGCGGTGCTGGGGTTTGGGGATGAGTATACGTAGAGTATACGTGGAGAGGGTTACAGGGGTCAGTGCCCTGTGGCTTGGTCGAGACCAGGCCTTGTAGTGGGATCAGTGTCTGATCAACCAGGATGTTACTGCATGGCCACACACCAAAACTGACATTAAGAACCACAGCTCAGATGGTCATGGTATAGTCGAGGTGCTTGTCCAGCTGCCTTCTTGAAGACAGCCAGGTATCATTGTAATGCCCTTATGTATGCTGGGAGGCTAGTGATGGAACAATCTAAGGACCCCTGACATTTATTGCGTTGTGTGTGTGTTCTTGTGGCACCCCTGCTTTTATTGGGGGAATGTTGCACCTGATCGAGTCTTTTGCTTCATAGGGAGTGATTTTTGTGTGCAAAAATCCCTTATCTAGGGATTTTCCAAGTGTATATTATCATGATTATCTCTTGCCTGCATTCCAGGAATTACAAATCAATGGGACTTCATCTGTTCCCAGTAAATTGGTGCATATCGTACTTAGGGCAATGTGGTAGATGTTGCAAATCTATGGAATAGGCTAGGATACTGGAAAGCAGTGAAGAGTTTTGATGAGTGATAGTGAGCTCAGGTTAGAGTATGTAGGAGGAGAGGGAGGATTATTTCCCAGTAAAAAGTAGGCCCTTCCTTTGACAAGGACATGTAATGTCACTATGGTTGTTCAATATATTTATAGATGAGGTTGTAAGAGAAGTGAATGCTCAGGTGTTTGCAAGAGGCGTGGAGGTTAAAAGATAAAGAATCTATCAACAGTGGAATTGTCACTGTTGCTCTTGCTGGAACATGCTTTTGTGAGATTTGAAGAGTTGTTGCAGAGGTTGGTGGCTGAGTTTGGTAGGGTTATGTTAAAAAAAAAAAACAAAATATAGGAAAGAGTAAAGATGATGATAAAAAAATTAGGTGACAATAAGATTGGATATCAGATTGGAGGGAGAGAGTATGGAGGAGGTGAATGTATTAAGATATTAGCAGTGGATGG